GAGGTTTTCCGTCAGCTGTATGCACTATTGACGAGACCTAGAAGAATGTATTTTAATTCCTTGTTGAGTTTTGCAGTATCTAATTCTAAATTTGTATTGAAAGTTGCTATCTAAATATGTCTTTTGTACAATCTTTGAGATTGAAGGTAGTAGAGGTAGTCCCAGAGGTGTTCCGTTAGCTGTATGCATTATTGACGAGTCCTAGAAGGACAAAACATATATATGATGTATTTTAATTCATTATTGAGTTTTGCAGTATCTAATTCTAAATTTGTATTGAAAGGGGCTATTCACTTGTTTGTCTTTTTGTTATTGCACATATCTAATATTATATAGTGGAGATGTTGTTAGCAGAAGGTTAACATTTTTTGCATTATGACGTCATAGCATTATGGCGTCATATGCAGAACTAATGTAAATGTTATGTGATAACAGAATCTCACTTATGTTTCCATTTCTTAAAATCTTAACGAAACCGTTAAGTTTTTAATATTACCTCTCCAAAAGGCACTCTAAAATGAAAAAAATCTCAGATTTGTTTCATAAATCACGTATTAGGAACCTCTATGTGTTTCTATTTACATTAACATCCTCAAGTATAAATTAGGGTTAACCAGTACTATCTATCAACATTACTTAAACTTCTCATTGAAAGGCTACATTACTGATAGTGATTCTGAAAACACTCCTATAAATGAATAATGCATGTTCAATCCTGGTTTAAAAACACCTCTGGTTATAAGTATTTTTAATAAAATGTGTCTATATTATGTCTGTTTTATTCATGTACATGTATGATGTTTATCGATAGTAATAACTTCTGTTTTTGTTCATTTATTTATGTTTATTTTTGTTCTTTTTGACACACCCAACTTTCACCATATTTTCTCTATGGATAAGAAAGTACTAAGACGTAACACATATCAACTGTAACTGCTACAAAAATAAATATAGACTTCGGGACAAGTTAGTCTCAAGTGTTTCACAAAAACATACTTACTGAAACGCTAGGGCCTGTCATAGTTGTTAATACATAAGTGAATCTTTAAAAACTATTGATTAAACGAAAACACGAAAATCGTGATACTGGGAACAAGCCCTTGAATATCGAATCAATCAGAGACATGTAAACAACATCGGTTGGGGATGTCGAATTGTTGTTATCCAGAAATGGAAAATTCACTATAGAGAAATTAAAAACATTACGCTAATCATACAGCTGTGTGGAAAGTTGTCCCTATACTTAATAATTTGTTTGTATAATTACTACTCATATTTTAGTATTGGAATATGGATAGATATGACTATAGTACAATCTGGGTACTATGGGTACGTCAATTTGAAATAGAATATTGGGTTGGTGCCTCTATCACAGTAAAGAGAGACTGAACAGGTTTTTCTTGTAGATTGGTTTGTCCTGATATTCCATATACACCTACTCAAGTTGTTGCTATGTTCAACTCCAGGTTGAGTTATTACTCAGAAAATGTATTTTCTTTTGATTTCTGTATATAAAAGTTTAAAACGATTGGATAAGGGTATAGATAAAGTGTTTTCTACAGGAAACGAAAAAAACAGTGCAAGGCGAGAGATATTTTTTTGCTGGCAATTTAAATCCGCAATTACCCATATAAGTATATGTCACCACTTTATTCAACAACAGAAGGTTGAGTTAATCACGATTTCTAAACAGCTGAATGCCAAAATGGCGTGGCATCAAGGCCTTCCTGTATTCGAATACAAAGACATGTGCCGTTTCATGTCGACAGAATCATGAACAATCTGTAATTTTTCATATGTGATATGTATTTATTACACACCTGAATATTTGAAATGTAGCTATTTTGTAACATAACATGGGATATGACGAATTGCTTGTATAAATTACCTGTCAATGAATGTTCATGGGCAAAAGGTTCATTATGATATACACGCAGTTACTTCCATTTGATATAACGGACCTGAGTGGCTTATGCCTATTTCTATCACAGACACACATTCTCATCGTCTCTACTAAACAGTGCTGGATACATTGATTTTAATTATAGACATACATTCATTGACTCTCTGATAAACAATGCTGGATGAAGGGATATGCAGCTAAACTGGTAAGGCAAAAGTAGACTCTTCCGTGGTTTATTTGTTTTTATGTTACAGTGTGGAAAAGGTAGACATGTTAACCAAGTGTACATAGACGAATCATTTAAAACGCCAGTGATGTGTATCCTGTAATTTTGTATCGATATCTTATTCCAATGTGATCGACATTTGTTTTACATAATTATATCAAGTTTGGACGTGTTGGACAAGTTTGGACGTATTGGACAAGTTGGACGTGTTGGACAAGTTTGGACGTGTTGGACAAGTTGGACGTGTTGGACAAGTTTGGATTTGTTGGACAAGTTGGACGTGTTTGATGTCCAATAGTTTGCCTGCTGATTCTATTGATTGTTGACCTTGTTCTACTTTGGTAACGTGACATTTTTACTTGACCAAAATTTACATGACGAATATCGTTGATAAAGCAAAAGACGCTTACTATCCCGCAACACCTGGTCTTAGCCTCCTTGTTCTTTTTCAGGAGTCTCCGTTAATTTTTTTCTCTTGTTCCTTTTTGCACAAGTGTCATCAATTTGGGTTTGCACTAAGATTCTAAAGACGAAGGTAGTCTATATTTGTCATTGTGATATATTTAGTTTTGTGCAATGTCGCCGTGATATGTTTCATAACAGTATAATGACACAGAGTGTGTTATGTTCTCATCATATTTTGTTGTCGATGCTTGTTCGCGTTCTTGTGTATCCTCTTTAAAAAAGTTGATACTGTGACGTATTTCATCCAATCAAGTACCTTTCTTACAAACCATTTTCATATCTAAAAATGTGAGTCATCAATTAACTACTTAAAAGAATTTAAAATGTCTCACTCCAATTCTTTATCACAATTGACTCTGTCTGACTGATAATATGGTAGTTACACATAGTGTAATGACTTAATATACTCTGGACAGTTTGATTAAAGCCGTATTCAGTGAACTGTTTCTGTTACCATAATAACCCTTAACATCATCATTATTGTTTAATTATAAGTACGGTATGCTTTACACCTAGCTTGTGACACAAGGCTCATCGTTTTATTATATTTTGATACATGAATAAACCTTGCTGTATTGTTAGCCTTATGTGGATGATATCGTGACATATTGTGTAATGTGTGATAGTATATATCATCTATTTCATGTTATCACAGAATATTGCGTATCGAGTCTTTAATGCTCAACCCTTACAGTATATTTCCGAACATTGGTGGTGCTGTCTTATACCTTAGTAGTGAAAAGTCTATATTGCATTTAGAGTGGCATAGATACATTCCAGATCACACAACAATATCATGACGTCATCTTAGCGCTGTGTTGATCTATGTTAACACAACGCTTGATGTTAGTTCTGCAATATTTTTGTAAATTAAAAAAAAATTAATCCATGATGCAAAAAATTGATTTTTTTAAAGAGTAATCAGTTTATTTTGAGCATACTTGTTTGTTTTTATTGGTTTTAAAAAATGATATGTCGAAAATGGATGCACGAAAATCGTTGAATTATTTGGTTTGGCCTTAGATTATCGCGATCCTGTACATAGGAATGTTCGTATCACAAAAGGATGTGACTGTTAAATACACATCCTGCTAAATTCAAATTATTCAAAGGAATAGAATAAGCAGATTGGGGAGTAAACTGATTTTAGTTCATGACTGAGCACGCACAGTATCGTACATTTATTTTTGTATGACTTTTGTGTATTTATTTTACCTAAACAAATTCAAAATGCATCTGTGTTTGTTCACGTGATGAAAATAAGTGGAGGTTATGAGATTGCCCTGTTGTGATAATAATTTAAGGCTTTTTAAAGGTTTTCAAGGCGGAAAATATATTGGTTCATCGTGAACTTGCATACTTTAAAGCGAAGACACAACGCCCCATTTATGCTACGGACTTATAAATGTGACTGTAGAGAATTGTGATTGATATACAACAACAATGATTACGTGTAAATATGATTGCCGTAACAAAAGTAAACACACAGACGGAATTTCGGTCGTAAACGCCACTCGAATTGGAATTATGATGTATGTCTCTCGTGACTTTTTGCAAATTTTTGATATCTTAATATATTTCGGTAACCATATATTAGATATTGAAGTATAATAAAAAGATCTATTCAGATTTTAGTTGTTACTTTAGTACGGGAATAAAGCATTAGATACTGCTAATGTTAGGTATTTCGGGCTAGTTTACCACGCATTGAAACCTAACCTACAGTATACTTAGTGTAGTGTCATTACATCAGGTTTTAACAACACGTGTTATGTGATATACTGTATAATCATCTGTTTTCTTGTGGGGTAATTTTCGTGGTTTTTTCAAGAAAATACGGTTTCGTGATCACTTAACTCCATGTTCAAATACCTGTATAGCCATATACATCTTCTTGTACCATTTCTAACAATTCATGGTCATATGAATTAATGTATTAAGAGCACACAACAAATTAACGAAAATAAATTTCCCGCGAAAATGAATGATTTTAAAGTATTCAAATGAACTGTCTCGCATAATAGCAAGTTAGAGTAAATATACTCCATGGATTCCAAATAGCCATGAAACTGTTATGTAGCATAATCAATGAAGTCGGTAGCAGAAGCTAGATTATCTGATCTTTCATTACGATTACGTTGTGTAAAAATAGACTTTTGTAATTCAACCTTCTCTTTCTACAAGTGTTTACTGTCGTTTACAGAATAGGGTGTACATACACTGTGACTATGCACCAATATCTTACTATAGTTCCAGGATACTTCTTATTATGCAAGTCGATATAGTCACGATATCATTTACAGGTCATCGAAACCAGACAGGAAATTACAGCAATTACGTAGACGGAATAAATCGATAAAGTTTCTCTGTCGCGATACTTATTACTGTTTCTTCCATTACAGAAAAATGAGTCAAGTTGTGGAACACGTCGTACAGACAAAGAGGTTAAATGACAAGACAAATCATCAAAGCGGACAGGAGGAGGATCAAAAGGACCTCCCACCTGTTTTCAATAAACGGTTGTTCGCAACACAAGGCAATGTGATCATTACAAGAGAGGCTCACAGGGTGATGACACGTAATGCAAAAGCTACAGAGAAAGGAGAGGAACGAAAATTGACAAAGTCTGAACTGTTATCTATGAGGACAGTGGTAGACGGTCTGAAACTTATACACAAAGGTCAAGATTATATCAAAGATGCTCTAAGCCATGTTGTTACCAGGGAGGACTACGACGCATTTGAGTACGTGGTTAAGAAACCTTGGGAGGATAAGTTATCGTGCTATTACATAGTAAACGGTGCAGTGGAAGTGACTTATGATATGAGTTCAAAAGAATCCAGGAATGTGTATCAACCGAACATTATCTACAGTCATGGCACTGGGGAATACCTGGGTATGGTTAATGCCGAGAGTAGAGACGAAGATATATCTCCGCCAGCTACGGTTTATACCAAAGAGAGATCTGAAGTTCTCAGAATAGACCGTGAACAATTTCACAGAATTGTCGAACAAACAAATGAAGTGCTAACCAATGAAATTAAGACATATTTTAATCATGGTGAAACTATTTTTAAGGAAATGCCCAACAGTTCCAAAGAGAAAATATTTCCTCTCATTGAAAAGCAGGTAAGACATTTGTTTCTGCAACATTTATTTTCTGAATTTTTTTGTGCTTACTATCATACAGTTTGCTAACTAGTTATATTGTGGGTTTTCCTTAACAAAATGTCATGCTACACTTCAGAAAGGGTTTAATTGTACCAGCTGCTCCCACTTAACTAACCGACTAAACTTTCTATATTGCCCCTTCTTCTTTTATATTGATTTTTCTTCGTTTGGTTGTCTACCTTCACACTGTCCCACTTTTGGCCCTTTTTGAGTGTTCGGTGCTGCCAGGAATGCTTTGGTTTTTGTCCCTGGTCGTCTTTAAATGACCAAGGCTGTTGAAAAGACGTTAAACATTATAGATCCAAACCAAATAAATCGAAGATGAATGTCGGTCGCAAATTCTGTACCAGGCACTAGTGAAACTATTTTTTACTAGTTACTGAAGATGTTGTATCGAATGGAATATTAATTTGTTATGTTATTGCCTGTTCCGAAAGGGAAATGTGACTATATACAAGATGTATTCAGGCATGGCTAAACATGGGGTGTTCACAGTATTTATCGGAATCCTATTTCATATTTAATTAAGATGAGATATTTACAAGAAAAGAATATCTAAACAAACGTGTTGACGTCATAACTAAACAAATGTGATGACGTCATATGTAAAGAAACGTGTTGACGTCATAATTTTTGTGACGTTATTGTAACAATCTTGCACATACAACATTTTTTACGAATATGGATGGTGTATCTATTTTGATAAATGATTTAGGCTCATATTTGAACTAAACTATACATAAAACGCTAGGTTCTCTAAACTTGCACTTTGCAAATCATTTTTCAAAAATAAATAGATAAATGAATAGTTGAAAACTAGATTGAAACTAATTGCCTTTACTTAAATGGTTGATGCAGTTCAGCTTTGTTCTGTTTAATTACTTCTATTGTAGCTGAAGACAGGCTATGATAAAAATCATGACATGAAAGTGTCAAAAGCGGTTGAATAATAGGTATTATTGAACAAAAACAGAAATTTACCATTACATCTTAATCAGTGACGTCATAAACAGAACTTACAGAATTTACTGATGCACAAATTTATATCATTGAGCGAATTTGCCAAAAGTCGATCATGCAATTAAATTCGATTGCACTTAATTAAGTACGCCTATGACTAAATCATACGAAAACATTAAAATCAGATAGAGAATTCTTTGTTCCTGATCACCTTTAGTGCGATTTCACACCTCGTCTCAGCAGGGATATCGTATTTCAGTATGTCCATTTGGTATATTGAGCAAAACTCCACTGTTGACAATGCTTTGGTTTAGATTGAAAAAAGAATTAACACACTTTTCCCATTTGCACTGTCAGAGCACCTTATCAGGATCAATGAGCAGACATGGGTCTTTAATTCATTTGATGTTACCTTTGGCTTAATTAAATAACCTATTAGCAATAAAATCATCACATTTTTACGGTTTAAATGATTTTTAATTACATGAGAAAAAATGACATTTAATATGTTCGGACTTGTGATAAGTGCTTGTAATATAAAACAGATATTATAAAGGGGAAATCGAATCCTTATGTTGAAATACATGTAATTATATTGATACGACAGTGATTAATTTTGGTGGCATAAACATTCAGGATCTTTATGAATAAACGTTTGGCATCACACAGCGATTCACGCACAAATACACCTGTACTTTCATAAAATTAATGGTCTCATTCGTACACAGTTTACAGAGTGCCATAAGTTCTCTTCGTTTGTAAAAGGACTTGATTTTTCCCGTTGCATGATTGTATGGAGCGACTGTCTCGTCCATGAAAGGTCAGCTTCTCCAAATAACAAATGCCAATGGTTTGAAAAAAAATCATAAGATGTCCCCACCTCAACATATGATTTCCATTCCTTTCTTTTCCCCTCAAAACAACTTTCTGTGATGTCCTATTTTATTTTTTTAGTCAAAATTATTTTCTGCGTTTACCGATTGTCAAAATATCTTTCCGAGGTTACTGCATATTGAAGTGATTTTCAGAGTGTCTGAATGTGTAAATCTTTATAATTTTTACTAAAGGTTTTGAACATTGTTAAGTGAATACTGGTAACCACAGAAAATATCTCACTGTGTCACTGAATTTTCAAAATTAGTCCCGTTGTTCCTGAATGCTTAAGATATTTTCCATGTTTACTGAATGTTTAAGATACTTTCTATGATTCCTGAATGTTTAAGTTATTTTCCATGGTTAATGAATATTTACTTTTAAGATATGCAGGTTGATGTCGATGGGGAAGTTTAATATTCGCCGCAATGTTTTCATTTGGTAATGTCATATATCCTTATGTGAAGTGAAGAGTGACGTGTCTGATACTCGTTAGTTGATCACGTGGTCTGTAGTTGTTAAACTGATTCACATTTCGGGAAACATGACATTATTTTCTTATAATGACCAATGTTAACATGCCGGGTGTTGTCAACTAAGCATAAGAATCTTGTTCTTCTGGAACACATGGTCCTTTTCTCCTTGTGCGTTTTCTGTGATATCTGTTTAAATCTTCTTTTTTTCGTGTTTCTCCTGAGTTATCTTTCCTATTGGGCTTCTAAATTCCTGTACGGAAAGAAAGGTCAGCTAGTATCATCTTCAGTTACAAATAAATCTTGACTACAAAAGTTACCGGCGAACATTTTCTCCCTGAACAACATACGCCAATCGTTGTGTGCTATGAACACTATTTATTCATGTCACGTTAATTACCAGTTTAAGAGATCGCGTGTTTACAGTTCTCTATATTAAAATTGCAGGAATATCCTCCAAATAAAGTCATCATTGAACAAGGGGAGATCGCGGATTTCCTGTATATCATCAGATCTGGTGAGTTGAGTATAAAAATGTGCTAGGGTTCTCTATATATTTCGAGAGTTGCTAACACAATCATTGTATTTCTATATAACTGTCTTCATTTTGGTATATAATATATTATTTTAGAATAATTATTTTTATGAGGGATAAAAGATAAAATTTTGACTTGGATTTTGAAAGAAAGTGTCAATAAAAATATATTTTTTTGTTTAAAAAAATCCGCGACATTTGAGCATCATTAAAACATGTTTTACAAAATATTTGAAATATCAAAGGAAGACAAATATTTATTGATGAATCGAATCTTGAACTTCTTGAAGTAAATGTACACACACACACACACACACACACACACACACACACACACACACACACACACACACACACACACACACACACACCAACACACACACACACACACACACACACACACACACACATATATATATATATATATGTCTGGAAAATAAAGAGATACCGTAATTAAGAACAAGATGACAGATGATCTTCGGGATAAAAAAATATTTAAAATGAATACCACCATTTATTTCGACAAACGGCGTTCCCTGTAAGATTAAAAACATAAATTACAAAAAGGAAAGAAAAAAGTGTGAAGTGAAGGTCAATTGATATCTTTTGGTTGTGAATATATTTAGGTAAATGTACATAAAATTGGTCTTTCTTTGTGTTCCTCATTTTCCAAACTGTTTACTTCAATATGATATATATATATTTATCGACTCATTATACGTAGCTAATGACGTTCAAAAAAGACATAAATCGATGTTATTAGAACATTATTGTCCTGCTAATGACAGTGGTTTACGTGTCTTACGATGTGGAACATGAATCGCGTGATGCAAATTAAGCTCGGAATGATATGGTGGTTGTTGGTAAGACGAATAGTAACAGCTGTATGTAAACCCTTACTATCTCTTTGACCAGGGAATTCACTTCCATTGAAGATATTATTGTCTACGTGAAATGTTCCACACACGATGATTGCTGATAATACACTATGATAAATCGTTTACTTTATTATCTATATGTCTATGTTTTTTCCTTTTAGGTCGGTGTCAATGTGAGAGGGAGGTGTTCATTCCAGAGTCTAATATAACAGCGCTGTTTTACATATCCTGTCGGGAACCAGGTAAACCACAAATATAAAACTTCACACTTATATTAACTGGTTAACACTAATGAAACGCTCAAAACAAAACAACTTAGACATTTAAATCATACATGTTATTTCTTTTGGAAATATGCTATCAGTTTGTCAATAATGAAGTTATTCACAATTGCACGTATGGCTATATAACTGTGATCAAAGAGAATTTATGAAAAAAAACACAACACGAACACAGAAATTGAAAGGCATTCGTTAATATTTTTGGGACTTGATTTTGATATAGTCTTTCTTATTTTGCGCACGGCATTATGACACACGTTTTTAGAATAAGCATTCGATTTATAATATAGCTACTACAAGGAGCTTTTTACCCCACAGCCCGAAAGGGTGTGGGGTATTGCGATCACGCACGGCGTCCGTCCGTCTGTCCGTCTGTCTGTCTGTCCGTCCACAATTGCATACCGCTTATTATCTCAAAAACTGCATCAACGGTCATCGCCATTTTCACTGGGGATGTTGGGCCTATGGACCTACACAACCCTATTGTTTTTCGTCGTCGCTCGATATCCAATACGGCAGTTACGGCCGGCATCTTGAATTTGCATTCCACTCATTGTCTCAAGAACGGCAACACCGATGGTCACCATTTTCACTGAGGATGTTGGGTCTATGGACCTACACAACCCTTGGTTTTTCGTCGTCGCCCGATATCCAATATGGTGGTTACGGCCGCCATCTTGAATTTACATTCCGCTTATTATCTCAAGAATGTCGGATGAGAACAAGACCTGAAACTTTCGTAGGTCCATAGGCCCAACATCTCCATTGAAAATGGAGATTCGCAGTGATGTCATGACATAATGAGCGGAATGCAAATGCCAACAAAAATCTACAGGCTTATTTACGTCCATAGAGCCAAAATGCTCAGTGAAAATGGTGATCTCCGGTGATCTCATTCTTGCGATAACTTTCCACTCACCCAAACCACACATTTCCAACTTTATAATAGGGCTGTGAGGTATTGTCTGCGTTTGCGGAGCTTTTTTTCTTTCTTGATAGACAATGACTGTAGCGTTATTTCTACAAATGTTTATGTTGTTCATTACAATAAAGATTGTATATTCAATATTATGCACACAAGGAAATGAAGTAATTTGCAGAACCAAAATAAATAGATAAGTGAAGAAAAAAGTGTTTGATGAATCACAAAGGCAAACAAGAATAAAACAAATGTCAAAGTTGGGCAATATCTTACTGTAAAAAGGAACCGTTTACAACGTTTGATTATCAGCTACGTGTATACTTGTGTATCAGAGACTAGGTGTCTTACCTTTATCCAGATGACTTCTTTGGCGAGGAATGTCTGTTAGATATGGAGCCAAGCTATGCCAGAATAACGACTACAAGTTCAACTGTCTGTTACAAGATCCCAAGGTAAGGGGCATACTTTGTTACATCCATGTAGCATTTTCCAAAGTATGGTATTAAAAAACAAAGAGTTATGGAACTTTCCAAAAGATCGTTGAATAGATGTGATTTTTATTATTTCGCTGCTTTGAATGAAGTCTGGTTTTGTCATTTCAATCAAAGTGCCGTATTATGAATGATCTTGAATGCATCAAAATGCGATATATATATATATATATATATATATATATATATATATAGAGAGAGAGAGACAGAGAGAGAGAGAGAGAGAGAGAGAGAGAGAGAGAGAGAGAGAGAGAGACTATATGGTCCATGTCTTACAATATAAGCTGTATTTTGTCTCGGGAAAGAAAGACAAGGGTCGCTCGCCACTTTTGTCTTTCTTCAACCTCACCAAAATGCAGCTTATGTTTTAAGACACTGACAATTCATTCTATTTATCCTGCAACACTGACTGAAAATCGACTATTGAATTTTAAACAGTTTTTTTGTTCAATCTCTCTTTAACCAATGTTGACGTTACGCTGAATTTTGCGTGATGGCGGACTTCACAGTAATTGCAATCGCACGGAAATATAATTCCAAACTTCAATGGATATAACAGCGATTTTATGAATTTTCATAGATCAACATGTTCAAATATAAAATATATTATTTCAATAACTTTTCATATTTCTTAACGTAATATTTAAGTAAATTCAGAGAGTAATTCTGTTGAATTACTGCACCTGCTAAAATACAGCTGTTTTCCCTCACTGACGATTCCAGTAAAAATGTATGTGGCAGGTGTTGCAGAATAAACTTGTATATAGAGTAAATTAACAGGCGAAATGATAGAACAAGATAACTGTATGTATATGTGTTCGTGTGTTGTAGAGTAGCGTTCCAAGTTCTGAGCAAGGAAATCCTTGTCCGGTATGTGGAGGAACACCGGCATGACTTCCCACCAGAACATTCCCTGATGGATCGCGGATACCGAAACACTCTCTGGAACAATTACAAATTCTATCAAATTAAAGAGACACTCAAAGAAAAGGGAAAACTTCATTACATGTGTACTTCAAACGGCTGTAGTGTTGAAACCAGACCTCCTTCTGCCAGGTACATATGACACAAAAAATTCAGGTATTTTGTATGCTGGGTTGTGGGGTATTCAACCACTTCATATCGACACGTTTTCACAGACTTTGATTTTGATTTCATCTTGCGAACACCATATATTGTTGTGGAGACTACTTAGGGGTGTTTCTGGTAACTTTACTGTGATAATAAACTACATATACATGTAAATATATCTGGTTATTTTCCATTTATGATAAACTACTAACATATACTGTTTATATATGGACAGTATCCTTTATAGTAGCCTACCAACAGATATATATCCGGATACTTTTAAGGCCCTCATATGTGTGATTATAACTGCTATAATTTCATTGTATTTCTCGTGTTACAGTCTACATTATATATATTATATATATATATATATATATATATATATGTATATATTATATACTAAATAATGTTTATTACACGTACAGTGTTCCATAGATTTGGCTATATAGTGTAGTACATATGTGGCGCTATACCATATACATAGTATTCTTTTAAATATTAATTCCAGTGACCAATATAAAGAGAACATGTACAGATTCATCATGAAAGGAGCACAGTATACGCCATTCCGTGTGAGATCTGCCGCGTATCCCAGGCGACAAACAGACCATCAAAACCGCCAGCGACCAGCGACAGCCATGGAAATGACAACACGTCATGGTTATGATGACGACGACAACAGTTCAGACGATGACGAAGAAAATGAAGAAGATTTTAATAACGGTAACGGACATTATGTTTGTAAATTTGAACCAAAAATGCATGGTTGCCTTTTTCTAGTTATGATCTTGCTCGACCACAATACCCAGTAACTCATTATTTTAACTATAAAAAAATTGTGTAAAATATGAATTCAAACATTCTATAGACAACTTATAAGGTACAAATTCAACGTTACATTTCAATTAACGATTTATTCGATCTCGACCTAGAAACGCTTCGGAAAAAGAAGAGTACTCATAATATATACTGATGTACTGATATTTTACAAAATGCTTGTGATGAGCAAAAATGCTTCTGATATCTATGTGTAACGAATTTTCTATTGTCTTAAACATTGCATTCATTTCGAGTTAAGCTAAGGTCATAGGTCTCGGAGCAACAATTTTATCAACGTTGTAGCAGATGTTGATTTTGTTGTGTTGTATATACGCATTGATATACTCTACTTTTATTGTCCAATAGACGCTGACCTTTTAGAAAGAGACAAGGATGAGAATGGAAATACTAAATTTGAGAGTGCACTTCTCGGTTCAGAACTTGCAAAGACGCTGGAAAAACACTACCCAAAGGTATCTAGCAGTATACCAATCACATGGCAATAATTTACTGATTTATGTAAATCATCAAACAATGGAACTATACAACAAAAGTAAACTTTTATATTTTTTAAACCAATTAGTTAAAGTTGTATGTTTTGCCGTCTGCTGCTAAGATTCCTTCTATTTCTATTTAACAGTAGTTTCCAATTAATAAATTCTGCATTTATCGACGATAAAAAGACTGAATTCGATCTATAAGTCAAAGAATTCATATTAGAACAGATAATCCAGTCAGTTTTTATCATTAATCAAAGACTGATCTGATGCAGGTGTCGATAATGTAGGAGATTTCTATTGTAACAAATAAGCTGATGGTAGGTGATATATAATCTAATACAACTTAACATAACTAAAGTAGTCTATGTTTAGTTATTGCAATGTTTTGTAATTTAAATAACATTCACGTCATAACTTTGTCCTTACAGAATTTTATAAATTTGAAATTAGATTTAATTAAAGCATATTTTGAAAATTACATTCAGGTTGGTAATGTCAACAGAATAGAAGTTCTTATAACACAATCAGTAAAAATTTAGAGCGAGAGTGTGACGTTCCGGTGTTTACACGGTCACCTGTATCAGACAATCTGTTTACCATCTCGTCACACTATTTTCGACATTGGTGTACATAGGATTATAGTGCAGCCGAAAAAGTTGGTCGATTCTTTACCATCTCGTACACTATGTACGTCAGTGCTAGTATGCTCCATACTGATCATTTGTCTGATGGTGATCGTGTAGACATCGAAACGTCACACTCTAATCTTCAACTTGTTGTGTCATAAGAACTTCTATTCTATAACTATAACATTTCATGTTCATAATTTACTGTGGCTCTTTAGACATATAACATTTTATTATCATTTTGTTCTTAACAGTTTTTTCCAATTCAGCAAAACTAAAACATTTTATGTTTAGAATTTATTGTGTCATTCCTAATGGACATTTTAGAAATATACCGTATTCCTTTACTTTTCGTACTTAATTAATGTGTTGTTTAATATGAACCTCAGACTTCACCAACTGAAATATCTGATAAGAAGTGAGTGATATTGTTGTTGGCATCAAGATTTACAAAGGAAAGATCTCAATTCAAAATTTAAAAAAAAATTTAGATTACATATCATATCAATATCCATATTTTAGATAATTATTTTTCGTCCATTTATTATTCATTCAATTCGTTGGTACTTTAAATCCAGAATCGATGGGTCATTGAAATGAAAAAAAATAATGAACAAAACAGAATAAATGTTGACATGAATTATAGTACTAGTGGATTCTGTGGGCACGATTCATCCATGAAATCGATGTAAACGAAAATATTCATTTTTGGAAAATCACGATATTTGAGCCCTAAGAAGTATATGGTTTTAAAATACGTAAGACAAGAAATCGAAAGTGCTGACTTACTGGTGATGTCTGACGAAACACTAATCACATTTCTCCTAACGGAACGATCAGTAGTGATGCTTACATTGTTCACGACAATACTTAGTATTTGTGTTCGATACTTTTGTACTATTATACAGGTTAACTACAAGAAAATTCGAAACGTATTGAAGGTAAAAAAATGCATGAACATACTAACAATGCATGTGTATGTGTGTATTTACTTAATTATTTAACAACTGTAAAAATGGAAAGTTCTTCGATGCTCCAAATTCCAATTTGCCAAACAGGCGGTTAAACAAAACCATGTATCCAGGAACATAGTCTCATCAAATTTCACTGCCTATTTGAATAGAGTAATATCATTTGTAAATCAGTAAACGATTCCTTAGACGAACTTTCCCATTTTACATGTTATTTTGTATACAAAATTGAATATTAGTGCATGGATATTAACAGACATAGCAATTGTGTGTGTGTGTGTGTGTGAAAAAGTAATTGAAATCATCGGCAAAGGATTTACAAACAATTGTTTATTCAACAGCGATAAAATGGCATTAGAGCGTTTCAGCAAGTGACAAAAGCTGTTTCATAAACAAATGATCCCGTAATATGCTAGCCAGTGATACTGAATGCTTATAACGTACGTGTGTTGTGTTTCCTTCCACGAGTTTGATCTATTTGACACACCGTGAAAAAAGTGTCCTTATTGATGTGTATATTTTTGTGGCTTTGAAAGGTTTCTTAAAAATTGTGATAATTCCACCCACTATTTGGTAGGAGAATATACATTTGGTAAATACAAATAATTAGAATACAAATTGTTGAATAAAAAGGACATTTTGGTGATTACGAAGCAACAAGAAAATACCGATATGTGAACATAATCATAATCCAAACCCAATAAAACTAGGGTCAAACAAGAATAATAGAGAACTTTACACGGTGACTCCTGAAAAAGTACAAGGCGAATAAAACTAGACGTTCCGGAAAAGTAAGCGTCTTCTGCTTCATCGACCATGACACCCACCATGTAAATTCTAGTCAAACCAGTATTAAGAATAACATATTGTACATCAGTAATTTTGCATTTTGTACATACGAATGTGTCAACATGTATCAGTTAGTTCAACGTAGTTGAAAGGATAGCACGTATTTCCTTTAAACCCAGCTTCCCACGGTATACATTTCATCTTATGTTATTCGGTATGTTTTGTTTTTACCTTGTACTACCTATATGTCATAGTACTTCGATGTTTCAAATTCAGAAACATTGAGACCTAGATGCATATATACAATGTACAATGTAGATATCCTATTATTATGCATGTACGTAGCTGCAAGTCTACACACACACACACACACACACACACACACACACACACACACACACATATATATATATAGCGTGATCGTCAGTAATTTTCTTAGTATAATAATAAGTTTGTACTCAACAGAATGCATGCACATGCACGGTTGTTTGAATATATTAAAAATAATTTATGAAAAGTTGTCATGTCTATCATTGAGTCAAACATGTTAAGCATTCAAGATCTTGTTGTTTTATTTGAATTTTCAGAAGTGCAATCAATCTACAAACTGCATGGCAATTAATTTGAATTATTCAATTGCAATTTCACAAACTTCTCCAATGCTAATAAATTCAGAATAAGAAAATGATTTGGGAATAATGATTCTGATGTATATTATACTTCATGGCACTGTATAATGAACTCTAGATTAAATACAGTTGTTTTGAAATCTTTTTTAATCTTAGATGCCTTATAAATAGCAATTCTTGTGAAATGAAGCTATAAAGAATATTTTTATTACAATGATGCCGTAATGAACTGGGCAAACATGCGATGTAAAAATACATCATTAAAATAACCGTTTACCAATTATATCCAAAGGGCATTGATGATAAGGAGGCGTTACTGGAACTTTTAGACGAGAACAGTGAACTCAGCAAGCATCTAAAGAAAGCCTGGGAAACCACAGACGTAACAGTAGAGGAGAAAGAGGGGTTCATGGTAATAGATAGTTTTTGAAGTATTTTAATTTTTATTTATCACCAAAAGGATAAGGAGACCCAGGAATGAACATTGTCTTCATCGAATTGATAACGACATTGCATAATCGTCGTTTGCTTCCCGGCATTGATAAAAATGTATTTTACTGGAAAAAAAACAAGAGGAAAATACCAACATATTAACATAATCATAATCCAAACTCATATTCAATAAAACTATAGCAAAATATGAACAAAAGAAGGTTTAACTTCCGCAAATACAAGAAGAAAATAAGGCGTTTCGGAAGAGTAAGCGTAAAACCACTATATGAGTGTTTATGGTTTATTACTAGAAGGATTCGGCTCCTGACTTGATCATTATTAAACTTATCACAATACTTACTTGTTTTTATCTCGTACTTTGCTAATTCTTATCTTTTTAACCCCGAACAACACTATTGAGCTTTTAGTGTGTTAAACATACCCTTGTAAATATCGAGATATATTCGTTCTGGAAAATATGGAAATATTTATGGCAATTTTTGTTACAAACAATTACTAGGTTTTGTTTACAACGAAAAGGGTATAACGTTAAAAATATGTAGTTTTTTTCAAATTATCAGAAAAACGGTGTTCTTGTTACGATGAAGTCCGATGATATCGTTCGGAAGGCAATGGCGATGGCTGAAAAACAGGTTCATCAGCGAGGCAAGGGCAACAAGCAAGAAGAAGAAGAGTGAGTATAATATGACTTAAATACAGTCTTAAGTATTTCCAGACAGCAGGCTATGCAGACAAGAGGGTTCTCACAACATGTCTAAACACTAATATCAGTTCCACATACTCGTAATAAGCGTCATTATATAAAAATATATTTATATAAACAAGAGGAAAAGTGCACAGGTGATACATATTATAGTTGATCTTTCATATACTGTATAGTAATATAGTGCTAATATTTGGCGTTTTACCCCAGTTTGAGCTGGTTTGGATATTATACATATCTAAAGTGTGTATAAATTGTGCCCAGGTATACAAGTATAACAAATATTTTCAGTGTTTACCTTTGCGCTTTCTTTTTAACCTCCAATATAGCGAAAACTAGTCCCTGGTGAATACTATCAATTATTTTCTATCGTTACCTTAGATTTGAAGTGTAATGTTGTGTTTTTTATTACTTATGGAGTATAAGTATCACATAATCCTTCGTCTTCATTCGTTTATTTCTTCCTTTTACATGTCAGTGTACCAGTCATACATTAGCTTTTAAACAATATATGCAGCAATTATCATTTATTGCGAGTCGTGTTTTAAAAAAAAAGGACACGAAATGCGGCAGTCCCTTTTCATTAACAAGATTACATGACAGATAGATGCAACTGTTTCCTGTTTCAAAGAAAGCTCTTCGAAAGAATAGCACTGAGACAATGCATGCCCTTGGGATTTGGTCTTCCTATATTTTCGTGTATCAATTTCCAGTCACAAGGGCTACATTTGATTTTACTTATGTACAAAGTCAGTAGGACGAAATGATATACATGTGAACTATAAAATGATAGCGTGAAAATTGTTATTACATCGATGTTGTTAAAACGAATTTCTTGTTTACAATTCTTAGCTGGGACACCATTCTACAAGCAGAGAATAACCAGGCAAAATTTATGATGTCTGCGAACAAAATGAGGATAAACATTCTCCGTGATAAACTTCTGGTCATAGATAAAAAGAGACGAAAGGCTATACAACAACGAGTAAGAAACGGAAGTAAGGTGGACTATAAGTACACCCCTAGCAAGTTCTTACTGGGTGTTGCTGAAGAAACCACAGAGACTCCACGTCCGGCCATTACGGTAAGTTATTTAGCTTTGAAGTTTACATCTACCGTAATCGACGATGATGTATGCCGTTGATGTATTTGACGGTCGAGTTTATTTTGCCCTTGACACTGGACAATATTGTACATTTTTTGCCCTGTATTTGGTACCTCTGTCACCTTCGTCCTGTAATTTAACAGCTCTGTCACTTTTGGGCAATATATGAATATTGAAACATTAATTCTAAACTATATATATCACCTTAATGGCCATCAGTCAAGTCAAAATCCATGCATGGACGTTTGGAAATATCAATGCACAAAATTTTTGTAGCGCCTGGCCGGATCATGTATAATCCTACATCACATTGCTGTTAGATAAATATATTTGCCGGTTAGAATTTGACAGCAATCCGTCAGTTTTAAAAATCAATATCAAGGGTCGCACTTGCTCAAATTTGAAATTTTTAACTTCTTTACTTAAGTAATAACGTTTGAAATATTCGTCTAGTTGCTAAAGATAACCATACTCCATTTCCTGGTCAATTGCCATTCAGCGTTCATTGTCAATCTTTTTCTAAAATTGTGATTCATCTTACAAAATGTTAATGTAGTATTCATATACAAGCAGCATCGACATACGGTTACAATATCGTACAATTCACCTACATCTGCATTGATAATTCTGTATCGGATTCAATGTAAACATGTTTAACATAAAATGACTTCAGAACACGCCAACAACGCCCCGATCGCCATTTATCAAAAGATCTCCACTGGCGATTCGACAGAGGTCTCTGGAGGATTGCATGAGGCGAATCAATGACGCCGGAGATAACCAATGGGATACCAACAATGAAAAGGTACTGATAACCAATGTGCGAAAGAAAGGGGCGTTACTCTTACTGAACCGGAAGAACGGGGTGATACGCTTATTGGACTAACGGAAGGGGCATAATTCTCACTAGATCAAAAGAAGGAATGAATATTACTTTCATTGGACCAATGGGGAGTGACTTGGAGCAACTGAATGGGCCATTACTCTCATTGGAGCAAAAGAAGAAATTCATTATTTGACCCTGATATATCTTATTTGTGTGGATTTATATTCAAAGGTGTTATTCACTTTCTGTCTTTTCAAATTTGTCAATACGCATTTCGCTCATTCAAGTTTGCTAATTTTCTGTTGTTTTACTCTTTCTTCACAAAAATAACAGGAGATTTGTCTATTGACAATTAATAACTGATTTTGTTACTCTTCATAAAATCTTATCACTTGTCTTGCAGCATGAAATGCAGCCAAGACCTACTAGTGCAATAGTGACAAGGCGAGAAGCAAAGCTCCGACGTCGGCGTCAGTTTAACTCTCAAGGTAGGTAACTCTAAATTTGAGGTAAAGGTTATCATTGTTTTAGTTAACTATTAACACTAGTGTTATTCCGAGAAATACTAATATTACGATTAGTGTAACTCTCACAAGTGTAATTATCAGAATAAGAATAATTCTAACAAACGTGATTAACGGTGTAATCATCAGGATAAGTATGATTAGTAACAATTATGATTAACACTATTAATGTAAACGTAATTACCACGAAAAAATGTCATTAGTAATTACATTTATAACTATCAGGTTTTTTTTTACATGTGTCGTTATTCAGATAAGTTTAATTCTGAGACAGGAAAAAAAATTATCAAGATGTCATTATCACCACTACAATTACCACGACAGCTTCCCTCACGATATCGTATTTATTACTGATTAATTGTCTCGTGCGATCAAGCACTATATTGGAACAAAAATCGTGATTGGAGAATATGTTATCTTAACGATTAATACGAACAGAAATAAAAGGATTTAGACACTGCAGATTACAGTCATGTTACATATGCCTAATCGAATGAAGTTTGACTAAAAACGCCCTACAAACAACATTCATTATTCAGTCATATTTCATTTACAGTATGACCCATTAAACTGACTCATGCGTATTTCTGACGCGTCAGCGAACCCTGATATCATTTTATTCAAATGTTACTATTAACTCTTTCTTATTTTCCAGGTTCTACCGAGTCTCTACTCAGAAAGTCGAACCGAAGCCTAGAAGGACATAGCCAGAACTCTATAATATATCGGATATGATAACACATGTTATATATAATATTTATAGTGCTTTTGGGGGACTTGTTTTACCTTTTTGCAATACTCACTGGCTGCAGAAATATAAATTGGAAAGTGCAACGATATTTATTGTAAGAGTGAGGGGGTAACTCAAGGGTATCAATTAATATATTTTAGAAACAGGAAGTGAAAATAAAACGGCGTTTCAATGGACATTTTTTGTGCAAGTAAAATTTCTGTCATTCTCGATTCTAATAGTCGTATTTATGTTACTGTTAGTTCTGTGTTGTTCATATCTGCTTTTCCAACACAAAGAGTTTAGTATCAGTCGCCACTCAACTGAAAAATTCAAAGCAGATATATCGGATAGGACATAACACGAAAGTGATATCAATCTTCATCTGGAGAATCAATTGTTAGAACTATATCACATGACCTCGACTGTGAACCAAAATATTTATATTCTAGAATTCATTATAAACACCATATAGACAAAATATGTCCTTCAATTTGATTCTGGTTACTGTTTATGCGTTTTTGATACAATTTCAATTTGGTAAGTGTTTATTCACTGGTCGAAATGTATTTTTAAATCGTTTAAATTTGTCCAATGTTCTCAATTTTCAAATCCATGTTCGTCTACTGTGGATAACAACTTCAGTGCGACCCATACTCGCCTGGTACAGACTACCTGGAGTCTCGTGTCCTCAAGAAACCTGACGTACCAATAACAATATTTACTTCTGGAAAGTTAGGATTTTGATAAAGGGCGTTTTACATGCACAAATACAGAACAACGTTTAACGTTTATGTATTGAGAACTGGTATGTATATTGGGGTCCATAAGTTTCGTTGTTGTATAACTTTCATTTTATCTGCTCGCTGATTGGTGTAAACATCTCTCACGTGTTTAAATATAGAGCGATGTTAAACCGGAACCGAATCCATGAAAGCAAGGTAAAATATATCGATCTAAAACCGGAAGTAGAAAGACATATAACGATCCTGTAACATGTGCTGCAATTTTTTACCAATCAGAAGCATTCATTGTCGTCATTTCATAAAACCATTATTTACCTGTTGATGCCTCGGGGAAATGTAATCCTCGTATTAACCTAAACACAGGTAAAATTATTGTAAAATATCATTTAGTGGGTTTTAATTTTGTTATAAGCTGTCTTGTTTATTACATTGTTAACTTAGAAGTATTTTGTCTGTGATATTTTTGTCCTTGTTGATTTCACTATAAATACAATGAAATAAACCAGATCTTTCTTTTCTTTTTAACCCATTGTCTGACCAAATCGCCCTACATCCGTGGTCTTTTGTTCGTTCGTCTGCTATTTCTTGAAAAGAGCTGGATGGATTTCTCTCAAATTTCGTATGCAAGTTCCTCTTTGCCCTTAGTTGTGTCCGTTAGAGTTAGGAACTGATCAGAAAAAGAAACTTGCCAACAGGTGACCATCTTTCATTTTGACTTTTAAAGGTTGTTATCGCTTTTTCTTTAGAAGTACTGAATGGATCTCTCTCATATTGCATATATTGTTCCTCTTGGTCCCTAGTTGTGCCAGTTTGATTTTGGGACTGATTAGGGAAACAAAATGGCTTCCAGGCGACCATCTTGGATATGTCAGTTAAAAGACAATTATCGCTATTTCTGCAAAGGAATGTTCAAATTTCTCATCTTTAAGAGCAAAAATAGAGAAGAGAAAAGGTGGGAAAGGGTCCAATTTTCAAAGATCAAACAATGGTGGGCGCAAAAATCCCAGTGTGCTTTCCTGTTTCTTTACCGATTTGATCACTTAAACTATGATATTTACCAACATGCAGTGTGTCATTTTAGGAATATTTGTTTTGCTTAAAGAGAACTCGTTACCACTCTGATCCAGGTATTTAGACTGTCACGTGGTTTATAGATGTACCGTGTATGTTATGTATATCAACGATTACACACGTAGAAACAACAAGACATAATCATAATCCAAACTCAAATTTAATAAACATAAACAAAAGAAGAGGAACAAAATGGAGACTCCTGAAAAAAGTACAAGGAGAACAAGACCATATGCTTTGGAAGTGTAAGTGTCTTTTGCTTCATCGACGACATCCGCCATGTAAATTTTGGTCAATCCCAGTAAGAAATGTCGAGTCCCCATTTGAAAACAAGTTATACAACAACTGGACCAACAGGCAAACGTATGAGAATAAAGTACGTCAGGCTACATATCGCACCAAGGAATAGAATATTTCTCAGTTAGATTACTATGACAACTGTAAAACTTCCCTCATAGTTTTTATAAACCTGCATTTTTTGAAACCCAGTGTTACGCGTTTGTCCGTTAGTTGACGACTTATTGCACAAAAATCGTGATAATGGGAACAGACCCTTAAAAATATCTAATCAAGTGCGACACGTTAACATCACAGGTTGTGGATACAGGAATGCTGCTATCCAGAAATGGAAAATCCACAGCAGGAAAATCATCACGCTTATCATACAGCTTGGTGGAAAGCTGTCCATGTTGGTTTCGTTGTAGGAAGAGATCGAGATAAACGGCTGATGTAGAAGGGCCTGTAGTGTCCTTGTTTTCCGATTCTGGATGTTATATACGATGGACGTGGTCAACAAAATTCTTGAAAAAATAACGTCACAGGACTTGTAATGTTTAATTTTAATCAAGGTTCTTCACAATGTGTTTGTTAATTACAAAAAGTAAAAAAAACTTCTGATGTCTAGCACGCGGTTTCGGACGGGTAGGCCAAGTTAATCCGATAATGATGTTTACTTCGTTTAACGCCACCTGGTGAAACGGTCGGTAACCCGTGACGAAAACAATGGTCGAGAACGACACACACGTTCGCGGTTCACCGCCCACCAGGTAAACTTTAATCACTGGTCAGACCGTGGTCGTAATTGTGAGGTCAATCATCGTTAATAAGTGGTCGTTGGGACTGTAAGAAGTGGTCGTAATACG